GCAGTCGGTGGTGGCGCCGGGGCCACGTCAGTCGCACTGTCGTGGCGTGCACATCTCGCAAACCCAGCAGTCGGTGGTGGCGCCGGGGCCAAGTCAGTCGCACTGCCGTGGCGTGTACGTCTCGTAAACCCCGCAGTCGGTGGCGCCGGGGACCGCGTCAGCCGCACTGCGTCACAAACGGCCTCCAGGGCTCACACCGACCTCCCGCCTCCGCCCCACTGCACAGAAGTGGGCGCCAGAGCACTGCACCTACTTTTGGCACGTGCTGGTGCTGCGGGTGTCACCAGCGTCGCTGACATCGTCGGCGGCGCCACCGCCGCCCACACGTGCACTGCTGAGCGGAGAGCGGTTCCGATAACCTTCCTAGACGGACGCAGGTGCCCCCCCCCCCCCCCCCCCCCGGCTCCTATCGCCGATAAGACACCGCTCGACGCGCTATCAGCCAGACTGGCGGCAGTCCTGGGCTAATCGCGACGTACGCCGGCCACTCCCGATAAGCTGGCGAACGATGGCGACTCTGGGGTCAAGGATGACGTCACGGGGTCCGGCGCGGCCGCTCCGCACGTCCGACCGCGCCTGCGGAAGGCTTCGGTCGCCGTCGCCGAGAGACGCGGCGCTGCTCCCGAACCCACCGGCAGCGGGCAGGCGCCGCCAGCAGACCGCGCACGGCTCGGCGGCCGGTCCGTCCGCTCGTCGAGCGATCGGCCGACAGGAGGCTGACAGCCACCTGAACCGAGACAAAATTTCGCGAGAGCGTGGAGGACTTCGGCCTGTTTGCGTCATGAGACGGTGGTGGCATGCTGGCTGAAGCCCACCCTTCTCTTGCCAAACAAAGTGCGATGCTGTACTGCGGTCTATGCGGGATATATGTTATGCGGATATGGCGGTGGGTTGTACATGATATGTCATGCTGCATGCCGCATACTAAGACATACATACGAGACCATGTCATTCTCCCCATAAAGAATTATGCATTGTAGCCCATAAACAGCCCTTCTTTGAGGAGCTGTGCTAAATCCACACGCTTTTTAAAGATTCAGCCTGAACGTTTTATGGAAAGCTTCTGCAACGAGAGCTCACGCTAGCAGTGCTTGTTGTGTGAGCACCGACTCCTTCCAACTGACCGGGACATTCCAGGTCAACGGCAGAATTTGGTGGCGAAAGTTTCACGTGCCGCAATGCTCGGCGCGGGCCGTCCTGCACGGCACGCTGCCGCCGTGTTACCCGTATTGACCTCGGTGGTGTTCGGCGAAGGTGGCGGCCTCAGCCACCGGGCTCCGTGTCCATATCAGGCCCGGCATTGATTGTTCCTCGGCGCCAAATGGAGCGATACCTCGGGAACCGCCGGGCGCCTCGTGGTGGGCTCCGCTTTTACGAGTGGAGAACGGACGTCAGCAGGGTGTCGCTTGTCAGTACATGGACTGCTGAAGCCACCCGGCGTGGTGCGGCGGACAGCATTTTCTGTCGCAGGGGACAGAATGGCTTTGCGGTCTGCAGCGGTGGTCGGCGTAACAGAGGTGGACGGCATAGGCAGCAGAAGTGGTCCAAATGCTAAACAGCCTGCCGCGGTGGACAACATGGCTTTCCTGCAGGCGTCTGCCACAAATCACTGCCGTGTCGGTAGCGTACGGCTTGACAGCCTTTCGCCAACGCCAGATAACACGTGTCAGTCGTGCAGAGTCCCACAGCTGACCGCGTCTCGGGCGTCTGCCGACGACGTGATGAATCACCACTGACGGCTGCAATGAGCCGGCATTCACGGACAACTTTTCAGGGCTGTGCCGCTCAAGTTACGGTCACAAATATGGCGTGCTATCTTGCAATATACGTTCAGCTGCACCTGACAGGTCCTTAATTATTGGCAAGCTCCCATGGTGTTTATCGTAACGTCATTCAATGTTCGTGATGAGCCTCTATTCCGTACTTCTGCTATGTTTCATTTGGCGATCGTTAAATGGAGTGTTTCATGCTAAGACACTGAAGCCGGCATCTGACATATTGAAATAAGTTCGCTTATGACTGTTGGTATACTTGAGCGTGGATCGATTACGTCACCGTACCTTGACCAACATTGGTTGAAAGCCAATTGACGGCCATTACATCTGGAAATCGTACTCACGAACACCAGATACGAACAATTCGACAATATATTGTTTGCCTTCATCGCCGCATGGCTGATGGAATGGCAGGAATGCAATGACGTTATTATGGCGTCATGGATGCCTGGGTGACCTTAAAATAGCCTCCCCGAAATAGGCTGCATATCTTCGCGGGTGTGTACCTCAGAAACTAAAGGGGATTAGTGCCTTAAGAAGGGCAGGGCTGTGAACCGCACTGAATGATATTCACGATGGCTATTTCAGTGCAAGACCCCCATGCAAATGTGGGACATTCCTTAACCCCGAGCACGACAGCCAAGTTCCATCTATGGTATCAGCCCTGCACTTAAGCAAGCTTTCATATCGCATCCATTCCCATGTACACGCGAACCGTTCCCCACCGTTAATGCTAGTCTACGCCGTATTCATGTGCTCACAAGAAGTTCGTAGGCTATTATCGCTCATCCTGGCGGCCCGGCCCAACCATAGCCCAACGCTGTCCCGCAGGTACCAGCGACACTGCGTCCGCCCTTCCCCTGCCCCGTCGGAATCGACGCCGGACTGTCGGTGCCGACGCGCCGCCAGCCAACTGGGCAGCGGGCGGCCGTGGCGCGTGCCAGCGCGGCGACAGACGGCGGCGGCCGGGCGTGGAAGAGGCGCCGTCTTGGCAGACAGAGGCGCCGCCGCGAGACAGAGGCGCCGGCGTGGCAGACAGAGGTCGCTAGACTGTTTCGCTGAGGAGGTGAGGGGGCCCGTGGAGCTGCCGCCGACGCCGCCCAGCTGTTCCTCTGACGCAGTGAGGGGATCTGTGGGAGCTGTCACCGACGCCGTCCAACTGTTCCGCTGACGCAGTGAGAAGGCCTGTAGGAGCTGCTAACGACGCCCAGCTGTTCCGCTGACGCAGTGAGGAGGTCTGTGGGAGCTGCCACCGACGTCGCCCAGCTGTTCCGCTGACGCAGTGAGGAGGTCTGTGGGAGCTGCCACCGACGCCGCCCAGCTGTTCCGCTGACGCAGTGGGGAGGTCTGTGGGAGCTGCCACCGACGCCGCCCAGCTGTTCCGCTGACGCAGTGAGGAGGCCTGTGGGAGCTTCCAGGCGCAAACTGAGCGTCCGATGACCGCTCTACGTTGGACGCGGCTGAGGCAAACAACGTCGGCAGACTTAGGGGTAAATCGGAGAGGATGATAGAGCGCGGTATCATAGCATGTAATGACCGGACACTAATTTCAAGAGTCAAATGTGTGTTTTTTTCTCTAGTATGTCGCATTGCTAAAGGCAGGCGTGCATGAGATAAGTCATGCATTGAGACAAGATGTTATAAGACGCCTACCGACAATAACAACACATTACCAGAGCATGATGATGTTTAATTACGATGAATCATATTTCATTGGCATCGCGCGGAGACTGCAGACATGCTCGTTTTACAAAGTGGCAAAATTTGTCCTAAAATAGCAGCGTTTGTTGCGACTCACGCCGTCATAATAACGTTAATGCAATGACGTTTTTAACGTCTGGCCAAGTGGCGTTCCTGTCACGAGAGCAGTCCATTTCCCTGATGGCCGTTTCCAAAGCAAATATAAAAATGTGGCGGCGGTGGTCATGGCAAGTCGACAAATGAAGGCAGCGAGGTTCCATCGAAATACACGCCTCGAGTTTGATCTCACTGCTCCCTCCCTCCGCCAGCGCTCCACTGTAGATTCATCAGCAGTTGGGACGGGTCCCAGCCGCTGGCGCAATCCTCCGATCTCAGAATCTCAGACGCGCGAGGACTGCGGGCGGCGCATCCGAGCCAGCCGGGCCTCCCGCCTGCCGCAGTCCCCGTCTCGTCCCGCCCCGACCCTCAGGACAGCGCCGTGCCCCGCCCAGCCCGCAGATCCCTCGCCGGCAGGGGACGGGGAAGGGGGGGGGGGGGTGACCGAACTCCGCCGCGAAGCCGCTGGCCGCGAGCGCCGCCGCGAAATCGATGCCGTCTGGCCGCCGCTGCCGATCGGAGATTGATCCGAGGCGCGGGTCCAGCGCCCTGAGGTTCGCCGTCGCTCGAGCCGTCTCGCTCTCCTCTGCGCGACCGCTGCCACGTGGCAGGTCGGCGGCGCCTGCAGCTGGCCGCCTCGTATTGGCGCCGGCAACGCGGGAAACGGCGGCCGCTTAATGCTATCGGCTTACGTGGGCACGCCAAGCCTCCCTGTTTTCCTTGCGAGCGATCTGCGAGCGATGCTGACTTCTGCCCAGCCGTGAGCCCAATGTTGGGGCGTGCGGAACGTCATCAAGATGAATGGTGCCAACGATTTATTTCACGCGCGTTGAAGACCCCTGAGCGGAAAATGTGACGTGCATAATGACAGCAGTGATGAATAGTGTCAGCCTACAGTTTGAAACGCTGTCGGGCAGATGTGCCACTTTGCTTCCCTCCCGACCTCTTCCAAGTTCCGCGAGGGCATGCGGGCAAGTGTGAGAAAAAGCCGGCGGTATGATCCGACAGGTGAAACCGACGCGATTAGCGGCAGCTGCCCACATCTGTCTCCATGAAAAGCATAAGAACCGCGACCGGGCGACGGAGTTTCCTCGCCCACAGTACGCAATTCAACACCACTGGAGCTAAAACCCCGGTACTGGCACTGAAAGTATGCACTTGGACCATGTGGGAGCCCCATGAAGTCGCATGTTTACCACCCACGTCACACAAACTTACAAACAGCTGATGCATCCCCTCGAAACCGTCCACCAGCGCCTTGATTCGGCGTACTGGCTTGAAGGGTGTACAAGTTGGGTACTACCAGCCGCGTTCCGGTCTCCTGCCACAATTGGGAAGGAGGAGTGTGACGCGCCGCTAACCGAGCAGACCACGCGTCGTTCAAGAGCCGCAGGGATCCACCAGACCGCTACTGAAGCACTGACTCACCGAATGAGAGGTCGATTTGCCTCATAGTCCGGGTGGCTCAGCTGTGGTCACATCCCGGCCGCGTCCATGGAGCCGCCTGAAACAGGTCAGGTCAGGTCAGGTCAGGTCAGGTCCGGTCCCAGACGTCACAGCTCGAGTCGCTCCGTGTTTCCGGCGACAAAGACTCGGCTCGCACCCCTCGCCGTTAGGCGGCCCGGGGTCCCGCCACCTGACCCGGAGCACGCCGCGGTTAGGTGGCCCGAGGTCCCGCCACCCGACCCGGGGCACGCCGCGGTTAGGTGGCTCGGGGTCCCGCCACCCGACCCGGAGCACATCACGCACGTCAGCCTGGCGGATAGATGCCTTGTGGTCCCGTTCGTGGGGAAGACGTCCGTGGGTGACATCTACAGCAACTTGAGTGGGATGGCGTCAACTGGCACGGGTGCGTTGTGACGGGTGGCAGCTCTTCAGCGCCACCCGTCATAGTAATACATTCCGGAGCAGCACTGCAATACCTGTTACGATGCGTTGTCATGACATCCCATATGTTACTAAAAATCGTCACCCGAAAGTATGCTTTCGAATTCCATCAAGCAATGTATCAATTCCTAATGAGGTAATTCCGGTATGATTGCTATATATGTGTTTGCCAATCTCGGAACCCCTGGTGTAATATAAAACGTTGGAAGGCATGTAGCGGCCACTTACCAGAATTACCGTGAGGGTAAATACGCTTTCGCCTGCTTTACCATACGCTTGCGATCAAAATCCAGCTCGGGCAAAAGGTGACTCGCACACATATTACGCAACTCCAACCAGCTGTCTCCAGAGCTGATGCGGTCAGACATGCCGCATCTTAAGAGATAAGTGGTTGGTGTCTAAGGCATGTGATGTCGTGCCGCTGGGATCGCGCGTAACTTTCTGGTCACTGATCCCTGATAAGCAGGCATCTCGTCTTTCGCAGTCTTGTAGCTGTTTTTGGTGATACTTTGAATCCAAGTGTGCTTGCTTCACCTTTTGTTGATTTTGATGCGAATCTGCTGCATTTTATGCTATCTGTGCTCCCCATGTTTACGATTGGCAGACCTGTTCTTAGCCATTATGACGAAGCAAAAAGAGAGAAAGTGATATTACTTTTGATGTGTTTGTTCGGGTTGAAAATGCTCCTCGGAATCCAAATCATGCATCGCTCTAAGAAAAAATTGATGTTGTTTGCCGCCTGATGCCGTTTGAAAAAAAAACTGATGTTGCTTCAAACTACTCATTTTTGCAACGGCTTGGTTTTAGAATGATCGAAAAGACCTACGTGTTCAACTTAGAAAATACTTTAACTAGAAAGAGCTTGAGCTCCTAGTTTTCCGGCATGATGACTTCACGGTTATTACGCCAACAGTTTGTGAGGTTCGTGCCATGTTCGTGGAGCCTGCTGTTCGTGGTAAGTTTCTGACCCAATGCTTGGTATGGGTCATCGTAACATTCCGGCTTGACCGCCTGCGTCTCGTGCCGTCCTTAGTGTAGGACCACCTACCGGATGTGGGAGCTCGAATGATGCATTATTTTCACACATCTTAAGTGGCAGTGTCTGCACAGATTCGCAAAATTGTCTGTATTCACATCTTGGTTAAATGCAACTTTTTGTTTGGTCACCTTGTTAACCCGTGATCATAAGCATAACTTGAAACATTGAGTTTGACAATATCACCAATCTTTGCCTGACAACGTCGTTTGACAAGTACCTCCTCATATGAAGAATGTCGATAAATATGAGCGTAAGACCTTTGAACTCATAATGCCAAAAAGACTGGCTCAGTCCACTGTTACATGTCAATTCTCTTCAAGAAAAAATGTACAACAAAATGCATCAGAGTTATCCAGTGTCATTAAACCGATTGCTACAGCGATGTGAGTCAGTTAACAGAAATAGAAGGAAGGCTACGGGTATTCATCGCACCTGTCCGCATGTAGCGCAGCTAATTGGCGCTTGCAGCATGCTGCCATAGCAGCCCAAGGCAGCACGATGCAGCGCGATACAGCATGGCACCTAACAAAACGCCGCTGTCTGTCTTGTTTTCAAACGATACACCGTAGTTCATCGCCCTAAATCACAAGGATAGGGTATAATCTCTAAATATCCTAGAGTACATTCGTCTAGCGTGTCGTTTATCGCGCAAAACGCTCTTAAATCGATGGGGAGAATGACGTTAGTGGTGACATTTCGTTGCATAATAGTGGTCCAGGTCCTGCCAGCCACAAGCCACACTGTGGCCTGCCGGTCCAGAACACGAGCCGGAACCGGCACCGGGCGCCGACCCGAGGTCCCGATCGGCGGCCGTCGCGTCGCCGAGCGCACGCTGTGGTGCCGCCCGCGCACGCCGCCCCGCCCCGCCTCGGGCGCCGCCGGGGCGATCAGAGTCCCGTGTTCGAAGCTGCAGCTGCAGCAGTCCGAACGCTGTGCGAGCGCGAAGCCACGGCGACTCAAAACACTCCTGAATGGCGAGGAGTGTTCTGTGGCGGCGAAAAAGTTTATCGGCGATGCAGCAGCGCAGGTACGAACACTCAGCGCACAAAACTGGAGCAATGGAGAGAACATACAACACGCGTCACAGCGGACATAACCCAAGCATAACAGAGGCGATGATAGCCGGCCTATGCTCGCTTTTCATGCGGTAGCGAAAATAACAATGACGGCATTAGTACGTATTTCTTTGTCGTGGCGGCACAAAAGAACCAGATGGCATTACCATCCGTCACCCAGCCGCAGCCGTTATGGCCAGAGGCACCTTCCAATCCTAATGGACTCGCTTCCTCGGAAGGTATCGATTAAAACATTAGCCAGGACGCTTTTCCGAGCCACCATGGCTGACGGCTGCCAGCCAAAGAGACGCGGTCGTGACTTGACCGTGGGCTGGTGCTCTGTTGAGAATGGAGTCAGGCACCCGTGGCGGCAGTCTCTTTGGCGGACGGCCAAGTACAAAAGCACAAATGGAAATGGGGAAAAGGCATAGGCAATTTTGACGTGTGCATTGGCAGTAACAAGAAATCTCCCGTCAGAGAAGAGCGAGTCCACGAGTCTTTCGGGGCTTGAAGCGTTTGGCAGACATAACCATGGTGACAATTTGCTTTGCTTCGAACTTCCCAGCTTCAAAGAGCGCGCAGGGTCACGGTGAGGCGCATTATTTAAAACTGCATCACACACCTTGAAGACACCTCCGGAAACAAAGAACTGGACACACAGGGACTCAAAGAGGTGGAAATACATCGCGCGGCACAGCAGCACGCTCACTCTTCTCAAACTTGCTAATCATCCCGAGATCCTTGCTACTCGGAACGAATTCTGCATAACAATGGCAAGCGCGCCGGGCTGCGCAGAGAGGCAGATCGCAACTCAAGTACAAGATAATTACGGGAGCTGCGGGCAGTAGATCAAGATGAGGCAGCTGGCCAAAATTTTCAGCGGAGGCCAAATGTCGCATTTCTCCCAATTATGTGAATTTGGACCGAAAGTCCGCGAAACCGATCAGTACCTAGTATTACATCTTGGCTCAGCGGAGAGAGGGGGGGGGGGGGATGTAAGGCCCCGGTCATTCCCTCGGCTACGCCCCTGATCAGGATGTCAGGGGTAGCTGCGCCCTGACCTGGGTATACCTGACCTGACCTGACGTTGATCCATCATCGAATCTCGGGGACGGGGGAACAAGGCTGAATTCCGTGCTAATGCAGGTCAAACATCACGGATGAAAAGGCAACGGGACGTTGCAGGTGCAGCGGCACATCCCATAGAGAAAATGGTTGCTCTTCGACGGCTTGGGGAAGTCATTGTCCCGTTCATTTAATTGGACCGGCCAGTGGTCCCTGCTCGGGTTAGAATTCAACGTCCGGCATCTGACGTTGCATGAAGCTAAAGGAATAGCTGAATGACGTATTATGTTAACTTTAAACATAGGGATGATACTAACACTTTAAAGGGATGGAAGTGTTTGTTGTATGGGAACGCAACTCTTGATTCGCACAAGCTGAGCATCGTTGAAATGGAATAATGTAGTACCTCTTCAATACAGCTCAGATTCTTCAGGATACAATCATACTTTATATTTTATTTGTTCATGATGCTCAGATGGGCAGATGGTTGCATGTGATGTCTATGTCGTGTACCATTCGGCCAGCGTTTGTATAAAGTACTTTGTCAAACCTTACAGGACCAACGTCCTTGACCATCGCGACAAAATGCAACAGAAACATACCCCAGCTCAGCTGCTTAGGTGAATGTAAAATAAGATGAGCAGCAGTTTATACGCAAATTCAAGTATTTGAGACAGTTTCTTTGTCTACAATTTTAAGTGGGCACACAATCTCGAGGTCAAAAGGGAATTTATAGGATTAGACAAACACATCACTCGCGTTCCCTACGGTTTCCTAAACCTTGTGACTTATAGCTGTAATCCATTATGTTAATGGGTCAAATAAACGCTCCAGTTGACGCATTCATAAACCCAACTACTACTACCACTACCCTCCGATAATGTGGCATGCTTTAAGACGCCGGTACAATACGGGGTTGCAATGGATGACCCCCGAAAAGTTTGACCCTGATAAGTTTAATGACCCCCAAATTCGACACCGTGGCCTTACACATCCGAAACACGCAGATTTACATTTTGAACGGTCAATGGTCAAAGTCGAAGGTTTTCCAGACATTCGGTGACATCGTGACGCCATATTTGAGGCTTGCTTGCCGATCATATGCTGTGGAACGGTTCTAAGATGTTACTCTCAACGCCAGGGCTTGCCACATGCCATCCTCAGCCAGAGGCGTCATCAAGATTTGGCACATTTCTGGACACTCACTAGGCTTTGTCACATCATGAGTAGGCATTGGCTTCACATCGGGTCAAAGGTTGGAAGGAAGAGGGAGACGTCGGAGGCCTCGTGCAGTTCTTTCCGCGCAACGCTATGGGGGGCGACACTTAACGGTGGAAAAGTTGGGGCGAGTGCTCCATTCCCGTCACCATCTGTTGGAGCCCCTGTATTGGCTTCGATGCCGGTCAAACGTTGAGGGAGGACATTGCGATTTTTCGAAGACAGCTTTTCCCATGCAGC